TTAGATCTAGTAATAATTATAGTATATCAATAGTATTGTAAAAATAACAAATTGCAAGAAAGAAAAAAAGAAATTGCATGAGTTAAACAGACTAAAATATAAAATCCTTAGAGATGCTACATATCTATATATGTATTCCACATTATAAATTTTGTGTGAACATAAAATATCTTGTGTTAATAATGATTCCGATGTTTAGATTGAAGGCCTACGGTTGGGTTTGTATCAATACAATAAATAATTGATATGGGTAGTAAATGTTTGGTACATGAAATGTTTGAAGTCGTAAATGTTTAAGGTCATTAATGATTGAATGCGTTTGTTAAGTATTTAATTAATACTGATTAATTATTTTAGGCATACTAATAGGAATGGCATGATATAGTAAATAACTCCAAAACTAATGGCAGAATCCTAGTAGGGATGCTGCTTTAATAATATAGATCTAAGGGTTTAGGATTTAGGGTTTATGATTTAGTGTTTTGCTGATGGTATTAAAATATTTTTTTTTTAAAAAATCAAGGATTTATCCAAGGGTTTAAAGTTTACAAAAGGGTTTAGCAAAACACTAAATCCTAAACCCTAAACCCTTAAGTAAATCTCAACCCTTAGATTAATCATAAATCTTATGATTTAAGATTAATCCAAGGGTTTAAAGTTTACCCAAGGGTTTAGGGTTTAGTTTTTAGTGTTTTGCTGACAGTATTAAAAATATATTTTTTAAAAAAAATTAAGGATTTATTCAAGGGTTTAGGGTTTACAAAAGGGTTTTAAGGTTTAGGGTTTAGTGTTTTGATAATAGTAGTTTTTAAAAAAAAATTAATTTTATTTTTTTGCAACTATTGTTATTTTTATTTATTTTTTTCTTTAAATTTTAAAAAACATAATATAACTCGAGAATATTTTGTTTCATTTTTTAAAAGAATATTAAATATAAAATAATGCAATTCTAATGATTGGTGAACCTAGAGATTCACCCTAGAAGGTGAACCTAAGAATTACTCTTTAGATCGTATGCTATATATAAACTTTGATCTAGAGACTATTGACATATATGACAGGTCTTGCTAATCATTCAAAACATATTTAAATACTCAATCCAAACTTTCCTAAGATACAAAATCAACTCAGATAAAAAAAAAAGAGATCAACTCAGTTTTAATCCAAACTAGAACTTGACCTACCCTCTACGTGGATGTTTGATTTAATTTATGTTCAACGTAAACTCATAAACTGTTGGTTTTATAAAAAAAAAAATCTCAAATATATTAATATGTTTTGTAATTTACATATAATGTGGATTATATTATTTTACAATATAAATAACTAATAATAATTTTTTGTTTGTATATAATATTATATTAAAAAATTTATAACTTGAAGTGATTGTACTATTCATATATTAACCTGTTATTTTTTATACTAAAAAGTTTAATTTTTTACATTAGTTTTCTATGAATTATAATTAATTTTATGGTTTAAAAAAAATTGAACTCTCAATTTTTTTATTTGACTAAATTAAATAAGATAATACAATATTTAAATATTATTTTACATAATATATTCTATATTATAATTGATATTCCTATATTATCAATAACATCATTAGCTTTAGAAGTATAATTAATTAGTTTAAATTGATTTTAAATGCAGTGGTAGAATCTGTAAATAAAAACAAATACAAAAATAAAATAATTAATTTATTGTATAAATAATAGTTAAATCTTATATAATAATGTAGAGTTTTTTTCTCCATAGAGGCAAAAATCATGATGCTTGTCATGCTATCATTTGTTAAATGTTTTTGAGGACTTATAATTTTTTTTTTTTTGTATTTTTGTTGGTTTTTACAAATAATAGATATCATATCATCTTCATATATATCTCTTCATTTAGTTTTGATTAATTTGGTACTTATATATATATATATATATATATATGTGTGTGTGTGTGTGTGTGTTTTTATAATAGCTATAAATTTCTTTTAATATTTTTTTAAGATTTATATGTGTGAAGAAATTGAAAATTATATAAAATTACATTATAGATTAGAAAATACAGCATATTTTTAAAATAAAAATAATTAATGAATTTGATTATTTTAATATATTTATTTATAAGTATACATATCTTGTATAAGTAAGAACGTGTAATTATATTGTTTTTATTCACAATGGAATTATTTTTATATTTTCTTAACACTTAATATATGTTTGATGAGATTTAGTAATATTATATCTAAAACCACATTTAAATTGTATGCAATATATATTAAATACACTAAATAATAATAAAATCAATGTAAATGTCAAAAATAATAATTTATATCTATACAATAAATAAATTTTTTATCTTATAGTAAATATATTTTAAAATAAGAAATCTAAATAAGGAAACTTTTGTACACTAATATTTTTATAAATTAATAAACTTTCAAAGTCTCAACAATATTAATTATTGAGATTCTATTGTATATAGATCGAGAGACCAACCAATATGTTTATCGAAACATGCCTATTTATTTGAATCAAATTTTTGTAATGTTTATCTTGCATTATGGTTGATAACGAAAAAAAAGTTTATGGTTGATAATGAATATAATATTCATTGTACAAATATTGAAATTTCAAAATATTGTTTTTTTCTTATATACCGTTTTGGCATTTAGATTCATCGAATTTGAATATAATAATTATTTACTTCATGAACATGTATGCTAGGAAAATAGGAAGTTAAAGACCAGGAAAATATGTTGTATACAATATTTGTAAGTTTTCGGTCATATGTATATTTTGTTGATCCTTATAAACTATGTGACCTTAAATTTTAGAAGTGACATCATGATAAAATAATTGTAAAGATTTTCCTTACAAACAAGTCACACAGAAGACATAAGGGCTGTTCGTTATGTGAACGCCACTTCCAGCGTCAGCGGCCGAAAAGCAAGACAAAACAGAGAAAACCTCAACACTGATAAAACAACCTCAGCCTGTTTATCTTAACGCTGCGGCTGATTGTGAGTTGTAGAAGGAACGCCCAATATTCCAGCGACAGCGGCTACTCGTACTTTGTACTTCCGGAATTCACTTGCGGCCATTTTTATTTTCCTTGCCGTTAAATTTACTTCCGTTGCTGTGTATTTTCTTTGACGCTGCCGCTAGTTGGGCGTTCACCAAAAGAACAGCCCTATAATGATATTAGTAATCTATTACTATTAAAAGGGGGATATAAAAGCCTCTCAGCTATGCCACATAGGCCAAAATATTCAACCAATCAGAAGACTCTATTTTACCACGTCATCAGAATGAATCTGTCCCAGACGCGAAACCTTTCGACGCCAACCCTCATTTCCTCGATCTCATCCTCCTCTCCGATTCATCTCGCGTTCCGGCTTCCACTGGCNATCTATTACTATTAAAAGGGGGATATAAAAGCCTCTCAGCTATGCCACATAGGCCAAAATATTCAACCAATCAGAAGACTCTATTTTACCACGTCATCAGAATGAATCTGTCCCAGACGCGAAACCTTTCGACGCCAACCCTCATTTCCTCGATCTCATCCTCCTCTCCGATTCATCTCGCGTTCCGGCTTCCACTGGCGACCGCAAGATCAAAACGAAGACCGCCGCGGCGACTGCGAAACCAAATGGGAAGCCCCCTGCTTCTTCTCCGATCCAGGGCAGCCAATCAGTGTGGTTAATCGTCCAAACAATATTTACGTTCTCTTTTGGAGTTGATTGGTTTTGACTTCTTTTCCATGGTTTACCACCGATTTGGTCGTAATCAGAACACAAAGTTGAGAACTTTTTGTTTCAGATCTTAATTCTTTTTGAGCTATCTGCAGCTGTAATCGTTTTTATTATCTGGTTGAACTAATGTGATTTGACGCTTTTACTAGACTTCATTGTTTTGATTACATGTGGAGCTTTGGCTTCTGCAACTATATACGAGTTTGTTATTTCTGATTTCTTTTCTTGCTGTTATACGTTGTGAAGGAAAAAGAACAGGGCATACTGACTTTGTGGATTAAGACAACGGAGACGGTAAAACCTATCAGCTTGGGAGCTCCTAAGCCTGCTATGGAGATAGACAACCCCGATGGTAGCAGTGGAAGTGGAGATGCTGCTGAAGGTACATTGTAAATGCTATTTCATATCTGTCGCGTCAGTTTCTGAATGTGACATCAACGTTATCTATTATGGTCGTTATCTCTTTCTGTAGAGATGGTTGTTCCACATGTCGACAAAAGCATTTTCGAGGAACTTGAAGCGATGGGATTCCCTAAATCTCGTGCTACCTGAGCACTTCACTACTCTGGTAAAAATCTCGCGTTATTCACTATTGATTGAATGTTTTTCTTACTAAATGAAGTTTTAGCTTGTCCTGTGTGACTACACTCTTGAACACCTCTCATTTATCCCAGTAAAGCATGTTAACTTATACGTAAAAGTTTGAAGATTTAATCATTTGCATCTGAATCGTGAAGTTCTTTTACACACTGTTATATTCTTCTCCGTTTCTCTTTTTTTGTAACATAGTTTGAACTTAATTCCGTTAGGTAATGCTAGCTATTCTTCCATCAAAAATATTTGAGCTTACAAACTAATTTATCATTTCATTGTTCTATGACCGGAATCCAACGGGTCTCTCACCGAGACCATGTCGTGAAGTATTCTAAGGNTGAAGTTCTTTTACACACTGTTATATTCTTCTCCGTTTCTCTTTTTTTGTAACATAGTTTGAACTTAATTCCGTTAGGTAATGCTAGCTATTCTTCCATCAAAAATATTTGAGCTTACAAACTAATTTATCATTTCATTGTTCTATGACCGGAATCCAACGGGTCTCTCACCGAGACCATGTCGTGAAGTATTCTAAGGAATTTTATACTATAGTTTAGTGTTCACAGACCATGTTAAAGAATCTCAAAGTAATAATTTCGTGTGATCAACTGAATTTTCAGGTATTCCAAAAATTGGCCATCATGTCTATTGGCCTGGAGGGTTGTATGCTTCCAAAATGTAAGTTTTTCTTTTCTTTGACCAGAATCCAACCTTCAAGGCTTTTGTTTTTCTTTTCTTCTATCCCTTGTGAGTAAGAAGTAAAGACATAATATGATTATGACTAAACCAATAACAGAGCCAACTTTGGCAACAATACATTCTGATGCTTGAGAGGGTATTTTTACTTAGAGGAAGCTCTGAGACAAGTGTTTCTGCAGAAGAGCTTGGTTTCCAGAAAGAGACATGTGATAGATACGCTGAGAAGAGTGCAGTGCTGTACTCCAAGTGTATAGATTGTTACAAAGCGTTACCTTTGGCAACGGTGATATCAGATAGCATGTACACAACTCATGGAGGTCTCTTTCAAAGCCATGAAGAAAATAGCAAGACGAATCAGTCTTTATTGTTGGGTTCTTTAGAGGAACTTGACAAGATTGATGGGAGGAGAGAAGTTGGTGAGAACAATGATGATGGGGATATAACTCTTCTTAACCATGTATGGCTGGTGGTTTTAGCGAGAGTAATTACAAGGGACTTCTTTGGGGAGCTGATTGCTCTGAGAGTTTTCTAAACCGATCAAACTTAAAGGTAAAGTGTGTAAAACTTTGGTAACTTCTAATGATGGTTTCATTTGTGATTAATGTGTTTGTTTTACCAAAACTTAGATGATTATAAGATCACATGAAGGCCCTGATGCAAGATCAGATTGAGAAGACATGGGAAACATGTTATGTGGGTACTCGGTAGATCATGAAGTAGAATCTGGAAAGCTTTGTACAATCTTCAGTGCTTCGAATCTCTCACAGGTCACTCTCTTAAACAAAGAGAATCCCAAAGCTTCCCGCTCTGCTGCTGTACTAATTGTCTTTTTGCACTTTTAGGGTTCAAGAACAGCATACGATCCTTCGTTTCCATAGTCGAAAACGTGCCAAGAGCATAAGAGATGAGAGAGTGGTGGTGGGAGAGACAGAGAACAGATTACTGACAGCATGTCAAGAATGGCTTTGTGTCTACCCCTGTTGAAGATGTAATTTTACTAATTTTTTTTCTTTCCTTGCTGAAATGGCTAACTCAATAGCAAAATATTAGTCAACATTAATAAGAATTCATTCTATATTATCAAACAAAGCATATTTATATTTTAAATAAAATTTATCAAATATTTATTGTGATATTTAAAATTTTCATTATATTGTAGTGTATACATATCTAAAATTTGAATTATATTGTAGTATATACATATCTACCTATTAAAAAATAAAAATCATACGTGAAGAATTTTAGTTAAAATATAAAACACAATTAGACACTATACACATACATTCCATGTTTATTTCATATGACTAAAGAGTATGATAAAAATATTCATAATAGTTTATATACATTAAGTAACCATATTCATAATAGTTTATATACATTAAGTAACCGATGCAATATTTAAAAG